GACACTCTATCCACTGAGCCAAACCAGTTTTGGCAGAAGTGACTTCTTATCAGTATTGAGTCTTCCAATTCATGAACAGGAAATATCTCTTAATTATTTAGATTTTCTTTTTAATGAGACCTATATTGTTTTTTACATATAGAACTTATACATAACTTTGTTAGATCATATATAAGTATTTTATTTTTTGGTGCTATTGTATGGTATTTTAAAAAATTTTAACATTCTAATTGTTCATTGATAATAAATAAGAAAGCAATTGATTTTTGTTTATGAATTTTGTATCATGATCTTGCTATTCTTACATAATAGTTCTAGAAGTTCTTTTGTCATTTTTTTCAGATTTCCTGTGTATCCTATCATTTGCAAAGAAAAAACAACTTTATTTATTCTTTCCAACTTTTATACTTTTTTTTCTTTTCTTGTCAGTTGTACTAGTAAGTCTTCTGGTACCATGATAGGAGTGGAAAGAGGGGGCATCCTTGCCTATCCCAATCTGAGGGACAAAGTATTCAGTTTTTCACAATTAACTGTGATTAGCTGAGGACTTTCTATAAGTGTTTTTTTATAATGTTAAGGAAATGTCTCTAATTCCTAGTTTGCTGAGAAATTTATCATGAAAAAGTGTTGGCATTTGTCAAATGCTTTTCCGCATCAATTCATATGATGATATAGCATGATTTTTCTACACTAGTCTGCTGATAAGTGATATTAATTTTTTGAATATTGAACCAGTTTTGAATACTTGGAATAAATCTCAACTGGTAAGGACGTGCATATTATTTTTATATATTGGTGGATTGGTTTACTTATAAATTGAGGATTTAAAAAAAAATCTATGCTTATGAAAGATATATATTTTCTTTTTTTTTAAATGCCTTTATCTGGTTTTGGCATTAGAGTAATGCTAGCCTTAAAGAGTGAGTTGAGAAGTATTCCTTCTGCTTCTGTTATCTGGAAGAGATTGTGGTGGATTGATATAATTTATTTTTTCAATGTTAGGTAGAACCCATCTGGGTTTGCTGCTTTCTGTTTTGGGAGGTTATTAACTATTGATTCAATTTCAATTATATATATATATATATATATATATATATATATATATATATATATATATAAAGCAAAAATCAATTGCTTTCTTATTTATTATCAATGAACAATTAGAATGTTAAAATTTTTTATATATATATATATATATTTTTTTTTCCCCATGCAGTTGATCTGTTTCTTCTTGTGTGCATTTTGTGTTTACGGAATTTGTTTTTTTCATCTATGATTTCAAAATTCGTTGGCAATAGTGTTGTTTTTAGTATTCCTTTATTATCATTTTATTGTCCAGGGGATCAGTAATGATGAGACCCCTATTTTTCTTTTAATATTGATAAATTATATCTTCTCTCTTTATTTATTTATTTCTTTTGGTTAGCCTCGGTAGAGATTTATCAGTTTGATTTTTTTTTTCTTCAAAGACCAAGGTTTTGATTTTGTTGATTTTTTTCTCTATTGGTTTTCTGTTACTTTCAGCTCTAATTTTTATTATTTTTTTCTTTTACTTGGTATAGGCTTAAATTGCTCTTGTTTCTCTACTTCCCTAAAGTGGAAGCTTATTTAGCTTATTGATTTTTTTTTTTTCACTGAGAACTATATTGCAGTCCTTTGTGTTAATATTCTATTACATCAAGTTTAATTGGCACATAGTCATTCATAAAGTGGATTTGACATTATTTTCTTAACTTGTGTATTATTTAATATCATTGTGAAAAACCTATGCACATCTTTGCTCACATTTCTGATGAATTACCTAGAATTAATTCCAAAAGGGAAATTCTTGAGGTAAGAGATTATAATTGTAATAATACATCAAGCTATTCATTTAAGCTCTGTGCACTTTTCTGTATATTTGATATCCTCTAATAATAAATCCTTAAAAAAAAACACAAAACACCTATATTCAAAGTGATGGGGAGGCATTCAAGTTTTAAAGGTCCTTATATATATTGTTTATACAAGTATTCATGGATAAAATGATATTGTTTGTTATTTAACTTGAAATATGCCAATGTCTTCCCTACACCAAGAAAAGTAGGAAGATGGATAAAATAAGAAATGTAGAATGCTGATAGCAGTCAAAGCTAAAATCATGGTTATATAGAAATTTATGATATTATTTCTTTTCTTGGGTGTTTTAAAAAATTTATAATAAAAAGTTAAAAATATACAGTTATGAGTTAGAATTTTGTTGCTTCTAATTTGTCAGCTTTCAATGCTGTACATTTTGGATAATGTTAGTTTATCCAGGACTACAGCTCTTCATTTCAATGATTTATCTTGATAGTTGCAACTGAAAATGAACTTGAGTTGAGGTTATGTCAAAACAAGATAAAATGGTCTTATAAAATATGGCACCAAGTTATTAGTAATCAAAGAAATGCAAATTGAAGCAGTAATTAGGTACCATTTTGGCTTATCTAATTGGCACAATTTTTTTTTTTTTTTTTGTAATAGCAATATTCAATACTGTTTAGAGTTAGGAAGAAAGACATACTAATTCACTGATGGTAAAAGCGTAATTCAGTACAAACATTTTAGAAAGTAACATGGCAACATGATTAAAGAATCTGAAAAATATTCAAATTTGTTGACCCAATAATTGCTTTTGAAAAAATTTAACCTTTGGAAATAATTAAAATTGTGGACAAATAGTGATGAATAAGAATGCTTGTCCCAGATTTATTTATAATAATGAAATATTATAAAGTCTCAAGATGTTCAATCCCAAGAAATGGCTACACGGTTTATGATATCACTATTGACCTAACACTGAAGATGACATTTCAGAACAGTGATGTGCATCCCAACACAACGAAGGAACACGCTCCTGACAAAAGAAGAGCTCGTGCAGGTGTGGTTCTCAGAGAGAGTACAGACGGGAAGAGGGATGTGGTTTTTGTTTGTTTGCTTCCTTGTTCCCATGGAGAATAACTATTTTAGAAGAAATGATGAAAGGTAATTTTAATGTAATAGTGTTACATTTTTTAAAAGCTAAAAACAAAATTGTATATTTGTCATAGTATTATATATGTGTCACAGCACATATATATGTACATACACAGAAAAAAAGGTTTGCAAGGAAAGACAATGAAAATTGTGGAATCAGAAAACATATACACACACACACACATACACACACACACACCTTTTAATTGTTCTGACTCTGGAGATTGGATCAGTTTATCAGACACTTGGCATGCCTGATCTCAGCTATCTGTCATAGCAGGTGCCTTAAAAAAATTCTCCTGCTCAAAGACCTGAAACTTACTAGTAGTAAAGGAAGTGGGAAAATATTTGCCTTAGGTTCAGCAGAGCCTCAGAAGACCATGTGTATCAGCAAGAATATGAGACAGAGTGTGGCCAGAGTTAGTTTGAAGATTCATGCACTTCCCTAAGTTACTTCCAATAGCAAAAATAAAAGAAGAGCTTGATATTCTCCTGGAAACATGGTCAGTATGCAGGAAAATGTTGCCTCTGTGAAGGAGTAGGAGGAGGGTGAAACCATACCTATATTTTATATAAATACATAAATACCGGCACAGAATTATATATTATAATGTATCTAATGGACATATGATCAAAGGGATACTTCAGTTCATTGCTTGAAAAATCACAGAGAAAGCTGAGAAGTACAAAATGCATAGACAAAACGGCCTAGGCTCACTAGCAGCCAACAGGGTAAGAGATTGTAAGTAAACACTCTAGAGAATTTAAAAAGCAGCAGTACTTACACTCCAGGAAAGCAAAGAAGTAATACAGAGCAGTATTTCTCCATCCTTTGGAGGTGGGAGGTTGGAAGGAGTGGCTCTACTGGCATATTGAACAGCACAGGTTTCAGTGTAAAAACAACCAGTACCCTGAGAACTACTAACATGCTAATACAGAAATTTACTACATGAGAATGCAAGGAAAAGGAAAAGAAGTGTGTGTGTGTATAATCCTACCTAATAAAAGAGAAACATGCAAATTGACAGTAACTCCAGCCACGCCCACCAGCCAATCAGGAGCAAGCATGCAAATCAACCCAACAAGATGGCGGTTAATTTGCATATCCAGGCACAGAGCAAAGACCGAAGACAGCATAGAAGGAAGCCAAGCCCTGCAGAAGGGAGTAAAGCAGCAGGGAAGCAGGCAGGGCTTTGGAGAAGGGAGGGAAGCAGGCAGGACTTTGGAGAAGGGTGCAGATAGTCCTATTCTTGCAGGAATCTTCCTGCAATGAGCTTCTAGTTCTAAAATAAGTAAGAAGAATTAAGGGGCCAAGAATAAGCAAGATGATTTTGAAGAAAAACAATTTTGAAGAACAAAGGTTGTTTGTGCTAAATATCAAGTCTTATTATAAAGCTATAGTTAGGTACTGTGACAAGATTAGAAAGTTCAGAAACATCCATGAATATATGAAAACTTGATTACAAGAAGCTGACATTACAAATCATGGAGTAGAGAATGAATTATTCAATGTTTAACACTCGTTCAATTTCTACATAGAAGAGAAAGAATCCCTGTCTGATACTATACTTTAAAACATATAAATATTCACACACTATGCCAGGAAAGCTGCTCATCCCCCATGCGCGCACGACCCCTCCCTCTCGCCCCCGCTTTGATAACTGGTTACTTAATCTAATTTTTTTACAGTCTAAAACTGTGTGGTCAACTTAATCTTTACTAAATCTCATTCAATGCGTCTTTGTCAAGAACCTTTTGGGTGCCTAATATTGTTAGATATTATGAGTGAAAGAAAAGAAATATGCTAATCTTTGCCTTTGTAAGGCTTATGGGAATCTTGTTTATGACTTTTTCATTTTTCTAAAAGATATGAGTTCAATTTATAGAAGTTCATGCTGGATTTCACCTTACCTGGGTTCTCTATGGGTTGAAGGAATTTGAAAGTCTTCTTAGGTATCACTTCTGCTGAGATAAAAACAAAGTTGGCTTTTCCTTTGTTTTAGCAACAGCGGACTGTCTACAGACTGACTCTAGTTAAAGCATGGAATGTGGATGAACTCCAAGCCTATGCTGAGCTGGTGTCTCTAGGACGTCCTGACTTCATCGAAGTGAAGGTAAGCCCCTGCTGGCCACTGCTGTGCCCTTTTCCTGTGACGCTTTGTTAATCATCCTAGAGTTAACATTTTTTAGATTTTATGGGAGGCCCAGATGTTTATGTATTTATTCAGAAATATTAATCAAGAACCAGCACTGTTCTAGTCATTGGAGATAGTAGCAGTTAAAACTAAGCATTAGTTCTCACAAAAGCATAATTTTGGTGAGAGGTAGACAATCGTCACAAACTGAATAATTATAAACTACATATGGTTGACCAGTGAACAATGCGGGGTTAGGAGCATACTTGAAAATTCATGTATAGCTTTTAACTCCCCATAAGCTCAACTACCAAAAGCCTACTAAGACCAGAGCCTTATTAATAATAGAAACAATTAAGATATACACTGAGTGGCCATATTATTATGATCTCTGAACGTATAATAATCTGACCACTCAGTGTATATCCTATATAATAAAAGACTAATATGCAAATTTTCCCTCAACCAGGAGTTCGACCAGCAGGCAGGCCAGCCAACTGCCCATGTCCCCTCCCTTTGGCCTGGCTGGCCGGACCCCACCCATGCACGAATTTATGAACCACACCTCTAATATATATGCATATATACAATACATTGAGTGGTCAGATAATTATGCATTCAGAGATCATAATAATCTGACCACTCAGTGTGTATAATATGTTACATATGTTATATTCTATATTCTTACAATAAAATAAGCTAGAGGAAAGACAATTTTATTAAGAAAATCATAAAGTTGAGAAAATACATTTATAGTATTTATTGAGAAAAATGTGTCCATAAATGGACTTGTGCAGTTCAAACCCATACTTTTCAAAAGTCAACTGTAGTAACAATATGCTGGGAAATCAAAGTGTTATAGTGAATAATTGGTTGGCTTTTAAATAAATTTCTATTATGGAAAATTTCAAACATATAAGAATTGGAGAGACTGGCTTAATTTACTCTATTTGTCCATAACCCAGCTTCAAAAATTGTCAACTCATGTTTCAGCTATATTCTTACCCATTTTCTCACTTTACCATATTATTAGAAGCAAATTCCCACATTATATCATTGACTCACAACTGTTTAAATATATAACTCTAAAAGATGTGTATTCATTTTAAACACTTATGCAAAATACTCTTCTCATAACTAAACAACTTTAACAATAATTTTTTTTTTAAATTTTATTTTATTGATTTTGTACAGAGAGGAAGGGAGAGAGATAGAGAGCTAGAAACATCGATGAGAGAGTCATCGATCAGCTGCCTCCTGCACACCCCGCACTGGGGATATGCCCGCAACCAAGGTACATGCCCTTGACCGGAATCGAACCCGGGACCTTCAGTCCCCAAGCCGACGCTCAATCCATTGAGCCAAACCGGTTTCGGCTAATTTTTAAGTATTAGCACATATTGGGTTTCAAACTGGACCAATTATTAAAACAGTATTTAAAATATATATATATATATTTTAGAGTGGAAGGGAAAGGGAGAGAGCCTGCACGCCCCACACTGGGGATGGAGCCTGCATCCGGGCATGCGCCCTGACCGGAATGGAACTGTGACTCCTGGTCCATAGGGCGACACTCAACCACTGAGCCATGCTGGCTGGGCTCAACGTAATTTTAAATCTGGATTTAAAAGGGCCATTCATTGTAAATACATTATTTTTCTCTTAAATGTCTGTCTTTTAATCTAATTTCTCTTCCATATGCTTTTTCCTCTTTGTAATTTATTTTGTTGATGAAAGTGATTATTTATCCTGGCTTGTTCCCCATTTTTATATTTTAGATTCTGCTGATTGTATTTTCCTATGTTTTCTATATTTCCTGTGGATTGGTAGTTAAATCAAGAAAAGATTGATTTATCTAGGTGATAAACGGAGATGGAAACAATAAAATAAAATAAGAAAAGAGAAGATTGATCAGATTCTTGTGTGTGTGTGTTTGCATTTCAAGATTATTGGTGGTATTGTATACTTCCAGCAGGAGACATATAATGTCTGGTTATCTGTGTCATGGTTTTGCCAATATTTCATTCATTTTATTTGTTGGGTTTATTTATTTTTATTCCAGAGAGGGAGCAAAGGGGGCAGGAGAGAGAGAGAAAGAGAGAGAGAGAGAGAGTGAGCGCGCGCAATGTGAGAGAAATACATCAATCGGCTGCCTCCTGTTTGCATCCCTGACCAGGGATTGAACCTGAAACCTAGATATGTGCCCTGATTGGGAATCTAACCTGTGTTGCTCCAACCAATTTAGCCACTCCAGCCAGGGCTTTGCCAGTGTTTCTTTGGGATGGATTCCTGTAAGTGGGTTGATGCATATATTGTTTTGCTGATATTGTGGTTGGCTATTCTAGATATCATAAGCCAGAAGGCTTTTCTGAGAAGATGACTTTCAAAACGTACTAAAAAGCAACATAAATATGCAAAGGCTTGGGGTTGGAGTGTTCGAGCAAATGGCACAGATAGTGTATGGAGGTCCTCTGTGATCTCTGTGGGGCAGCTGGAGTTGGCAGTGACAGAAGATGGATCAGAGAAGTGGGGTCTTTCAGGCAAGGATAAGAGGATTGGATTTTATGCCAAATTTCATGGTAAGCTTTTCTTTATACTAGATGTACTTCCAAAGTGTTTTAAGCTGGAGGATTATATGTCTGATTTATGATTATAAAACAATAGCTTGCTGCTGTCATAAATAGAGTACAGAAGGCAGTAGTAGAAGTAGGCAGACCAGTTACAAAGCTATTGCTTAATCCAAACAAGACATGTGATATTAATAGATTGGGGAAGGTCATTGGTAATATATGTTAGAGAAATGTGGCTGCATTTAGGATAAATTTTGGAAGTAAAACCAACAGAACTTATTGCTAGATGATGATATGTAGGGAGTGAAAGAACAAAAGGAATCATAATAGCATTGGATTTTTAGCTTAAACAGTTGTGTGGATGTGGAACAGTTTACTGAGATGGAAAGATCCAGGCAGGAGGAAGGTAAGTTTGGGAAGTAATTTTACGTGTTCTATGTTGGTCTTATTAAATTTGAACCACATATAGGTTCAAAGAGGCCACAGATCATATACAATGAGTGGCCAGATTATTATGATCTCTGAACACATAGTAATCTGGCCATATATATATATATATATATATATATATATATATGTGTGTGTGTGTGTGTGTGTGTGTGTGTGTGTGTGTGTGTATATATATATATATATATATATATATATATATATATATATATATGAAGCCCAGTGCATGGATTCGTGCATGGGGGGTCTGGCTAGCTTGGCCAGAGGGAGGGGACATGGATGGTTGGCTGGCATGCCTGCTGATCAGACTCCTGGTCAAGGGGGCAATTTGCATATTAGCCTTTTATTACATAGGAGATCATAATAATCTGACCACTCAGTGTAAGTGTGGAGGTCAGCTCTGACAGAGACAGGACTTGGGTTTAAAGCACAGAAGACTAGGTACTTTTAACTTCAGTTGAAGACTGAATTAGGACAAAATTCACCCACTGGCACAGAATGGCATTTGGAGATTTATCCCTTGTCTATGCTGTTGGTGAAAAAGTTTTCCAGGACCTATCCCTCAAAAGGGATTGGTGTTAAAATTTAATAGTGCCTCCAGGTCACAAAATGGCTCTGAAGATGTGAAATGGATAGTGCCAATTGACCTGGGTTAGTGATAATGCCTGGGGCTCTTTGCAGAAGCAAACACAGTACTGTTCATATCCTTTGTCTGTATTTCCTGGATGTGTGTGTATGTGGTGGGTGCCAGAGTCCCCCATAGTCTGCACACACTGGTGTCTCAAGTGGGGAAGAGGGAAGAGCACAGCTTTTTTCTTTTTCTTTTTTAAAATATATTTTTATTGATTTCAGAGGAGAAGGAGAGATTGAAACACCAATGATCAGAGGGAATCACTGACTGGCTGCCTCTTGCATGCCCCCTACTAGGGATCGAGCACACAACCTGGGCATGTACCCTTGACCGGAATCGAACCTGGGACCCTTCAGTCCGCAGGCCGATGCTATATCCACTGAGCCAAATCGGGTAGGGCAAGAGCACAGCTTTGATACATTCCTGAAAGGTGCTGAAGGAGCTGGGACAGGTTACTATCTTCCTTGAGTCTATACTTCCTCAAGATTAAAATTAGAATAATAGTAGCAATGTAATAGCTTTATTTTGAGAAATTCATTGGGGTAATGGGTTTGCCTGGATTCAGTAAATGTTTAACTCACTTTCCATTAAGCACATTTATTTAAACTAAATCAATAGAAGCTATTCATTACATTGATTTCCTCTTTTCTTTCAGTACTAGTCTTGTAAAATACTTTTTTTCTATTATATGCCCAGTAAATTAACATATATTTTAGCTTTGTTAGGCTTAAATAGGCCTTTATTTGCTATCCTGAGAATCTTAACCATCATTATTACTTGTTTGTGAAAATGTGTTTCATGTTACAAACATTTGTCTCATTGAAAACTTTTATAACACTATTTATAAATGAAATACTACCTTTGTATTCTCTCCTGGCATTGTACCTTGAGAATAGTAAGTACTCAGTAATTATTTGCTGCCAAATGATACAAGACTCTCTTACCCTTTGCACTGCAGCTGTCTAGAAGAACCCAATCTTTGCAGAATGCATCTTGCAAAACATGGGTTAGCATAGCCTCACGCTTTCTGTGAAGATAAGGAATAATAGCAGTTGTTCATGTACATGGTAATACCTAACTAGTGTTTATCAGTTGGTTCATGATCATTAAAGAGCAGACAAATTCTGAGTAATATGAATGAAATTTTACATTAGACCAGAAAAGAGTTCTGGGGTTTCTTATCATAGAAGAGTTTGTTTCTTGATCTTTAGGTCATTTAGCATAGATTGGTTGTGGGTCCAGAGAAGAATTGGCCTCAAAGCCATGTTGAGAAACTTGGGCTGTTTGTTTTTTAATGACATTCTGCAGCATTAAACCCCAAACATGTCATCCCTATACCCTGAAAATGCTGTGGGCTGTGCTTTTCACTACAACGTGAAGATGTACAAATATAGTCCTGTTCTTTGGGAACTTTCTTTAGGTTTGCTTGTTACTCCTCAACCTGTAGATTCTGGAGTGAATGATTACTTTCCAGTTGCCACATTGTGCCCATCTGTTTTCTTTCTTTAAAAATTTTTTTTAATTGATTTTTTACAGAGAGGCAGGGAGAGGGATAGAGAGGTAGAAACATCGATGAGAGGGGAACATCGATCAGCTGCCTCCTGCACACCCCCTCCTGGGGATGTGCCCACAACCAAGGTACATGCCCTTGACCGGAATCGAACCTGGGACTCTAGAGTCCGCAGGCTGACACTCTATCCACTGAGCCAAACTGGTTTCGGCCCATCTCTTTTCTTAAAGTTGTTTTTTTTTCAAAGTTGTGAGGAAAGAACATGATGTTGGTAATAAATGGGGAGGGTCTGGGGTGTGGTGGTGGGGTGAGAAGGTGGCAGATAGCTGTGATATGAGGGAAACTGATAGTGGTTTTAGATAGTTCAGGGTTAAGTGAGCAGGAATAAAGTCAGCACAGGTTATTGGTAGACCAGAGTTTGGAAGAAGCGAAGAAGCCAAGGCAGAGAGCACCAGAGAGGAGGCATTAGGAGCTATGCTGGTGAGGGCTCAGGGGTTCTGAAAGTGACTTCACAGACAGGTTCACTGAAACCGGTTTCTGCCCATAACATTTCTGTCATGGTGAAGGCTCACGCTCTGTGGATGGTTCAAGCTACCCGTACTGCCGACCCCAGCAGATTTGGTTTGGTTAAAATGAGAACTTGGCCGAAGCCGGTTTGGCTCAGTGGTAGAGCATCGGTCTGCGGACTGAAAGGTCCCGCGTTCGATTCCGGTCAGGGGCATGTACATTGGTTGTGGGCACATCCCCGGTGGGGTGTGCAGGAGGCAGCTGGTCCATGTTTCTCTCTCATTGACATTTCTAGCTCTCTATCTCTCTCCCTTCCTCTCTGTAAAAAATCAATAAAATATATTTTTTTAAAAATGAGAACTTTTATGTGAAAGTGCTTTGGAAAGTGCTATAAAGCATCATGCGAATGTGTAGAGAAATATTATGTGAAGGCATAATAATGAACTGGGTGGCATTCATCCTCTAATTTCATTTCCAAGCCAAATATCTTCTTAATATTTCATGATTTATTATTGCTGAATAAGAAATATTAAACCAAAGCCATTGTCATGAGTATAAGATCTTATCTAAAAACCTCTGCTTCAATGAACTTTTTAAATATTAAAAATAAATTCCTTTGAAATAACTGTTCCATACATGGGTGTTCACATAATTCATACATTATAAACAGTATTTAAATTGAAGTAAAGTTTGTTTTTGTGACCAATTTTATCAATAAATCCTTTTTACACATTTGGGTATGTTTAGCATAATTTTTCATCCATGCTTTCTTAAAGACTTTATTCTTGCTTTTTTAATTCACTGACAACTCAGACTCAATTTAGTGAATTCAATAAATTATTGGGCTAATAAAGAAGATTCTCTTGTTTGCTAGAACTAAGCTGGGTCACCTAAGGTTTGTGTCCAGCAAAGGTCATCTCAGTCTAGTAGACCAGCAATCTTCTTGCACAGCCATCTGGAACAGAGCGTTCTGCAGAGCTCATCTGAGTTTTCAGCCAAGCCCTGGCTCTGCCATCTGTAGGGTCAGGGTCACTCTGCAGAGTTCATTTGTGGATTTTTCATTAATGTCATTCTACCCCCTTTAATGAGTGTGTGTGTGTGTGTGTGTGTGTGTATGAAAGAGAGAGAGAGATAGGGAGAGAGAGAGAGAGAGAGGGAGAGAGAGAGAGAGAGAGAGGTTTTTTTATTTCAGTATTCCCTACTTAATAGTAGCATATCTAGAATATTCAAACCATTTGTTAAGAAAGTTTGATTCTGAAGTATTTGAAGAGCCTACAAAGATAAGATATCCAATATTATTTAAAAATGAATTATTTATCATTATGTAATCTACCAGTAGAGAACTTAGTTATGAAATGTGTTTGGATTTTATATGACTGGGCTGTCAGGTAGAGTTCAAAACAGAACCAAAGTTATTTCACTGAATAAGAATTTTTATAGAGGTGAGATACATTTAGGTGTGCTTAGATGCTTTTATACACATCCTCGTAAGTATTTCCTATTTGGCATGAGTGTGTGTGTGTGTGTGTGTGTGTGCGCAAAATGCGTTACAAAGTGATATCTTTAAAGAATAAGTAGTAATAATGGGATCCCTATCCAGCCTTTAATATAAAATTTACCATCCTCACATCTAAACTGTACCACAAAATGGGAGCTCAGTTTATTTTCCCAGTGAATAAACTGTTCGGTGAATTTATATGGCTGTCAACTATGCCTGCATTATTATTCTAGTGGACTGTCAACCCTTGAGAATTAATCTATTATAGATCCCAAAGGAATCTGAATGGAAAGATATGTTATTGGCTCAAATAATATTGTGGTACATGACACGAGCACAGGTACCCACGCACCAGCACTGTCATGGAGTGAAAAGAACATCGACCAGCCCGGGAGCTCCAGTGCTGTCCTTGTCACTAACTCCTTGTATTAGTTCCCAAGCAATTTATCTTCTTTGTAACACCTTCTTCACTTTGAAATACAGATGGGATTGATTTGGATGAACTCTAGAAACCTTTTTAGCTCTGAAATTTTCTCTATGACATGTAAACAGGTCTGTAATTGTCTAACTATTGTCATGTTTCCACAGGGTGTTACCTACTGTGGAGAGAGTTCAGCAAGCAGTCTTACCCTGGCCAACGTGCCCTGGCATGAGGAAGTCGTGCGCTTCGTCCGTGAACTGGTGGGTCTGATCCCTGACTATGAAATTGCTTGTGAACATGAACATTCCAATTGCCTCCTGATTGCTCACAGAAAGGTAAGAGTAATGTGAATATGATTTCTTCTGCCACCCTTATTCTTCTTTCTCCTTTCTTCTTTTTTCTCTTATTTTCCCCTTACCTTATAACAGTGAATATCTGCTTGTTTGCTACCTTTCCTAAAACAATAATTTTTTAAAAAACCCTAAAGTCTGTCTGTTGGGCTCATAAATGCTCTTCTTTTGTGTGAAATTACTTTGTATTTATCCTCACATAGGCATTTGTAGTGCTTTCTGGATTGTAATGGCACATGCTGAAAAACAAAAGCAAAACTGCTTGTAATAACCTCTAGGCCTTTTCCGGGGTGACGAGGGAGAACGAAAAAGTAAACAACCTCCATATAAGTGTTTCTGACTTGTTAAGAAATACTGAGGTATTTGTCATATTTTAGATCAGAGATTTTGGTTCAGGACTCTATTTCCATTTTTTCCCCCTTCAGTGCTTTTATTATGCAGGATATATGAATCCAGTGTATTTCTTAAGTAAGTAATGCCTAGCAAAGAAAAAATTCAGCTCTTTGTATTGTAGATGTAGGCCATTAAAATAAGAAGGGAAACTGATCAGGAGGCTAAGTGTTAGAACAGCTGTTATAAAATGTCCTTATGGAAATATTTTCACAGAAACAATATAGTATCTGGAATGCTATTCAGGTGAGGTATGTGATGTATAGATGGGTTGGGGGTTGTTGAGGCTAGATGATGGATACATAGAGGTTTATACTACTCTACCTAGTTTCTAATTCAAATTCTCCATTAAAAATGCTTTTTTAAAGTAGTAGACATGGATGAACCTTGAAGACACTGTAGTAGGTGGAAAAACGTCTGACACAAAAGGCCACATATTGTATGATTTCATTTTAGGAAATGTTCAGAGTAGGTAAACCCATAGAGACAGGAAGTAGATTGATGGCCAGGAACTAGGGAAGAACAGATTGGAAAGTGATTGCTGATATCTATGGGATTTCTTTTTGGGGTAATGAGAATGTTCTTGAATTATATGGTGGTGTTGGTTGCACATGTTCATAACTATGCTACTGAATTGTATACTTTAAAAGGTTGAATTTTATGGTATGTGAATTATATCACGATTATATACTAAAAAATTAGAAAGATCAAGGGTGGGCTACTGTCATACTGGTTTGTTGGTGATGAACTCATGTCCTTAGTATTTTCTTATCTGGAAAACCCTTTATCTGTCCTTTTCTAAATGATAGCCTTGCTGGTTAGGGTAATCTTGGTTGCTTTTCATTTCTGAATGTTTTATGCTGGTGGTCGGCAAACTGCGGCTCACGAGCCACATGCGACTCATAGGCCCCTTGAGCATACTAACGCCACTTCTTCAAAATAGACTCACCCAGGCCGAAAACCGGCTTCTGCGCATGGGCCACGAAGCTTCAATCGCACTGTATGTGCACGCCCGCACATGGTATTTTGTGGAAGAGCCACACTCAAGGGGCCAAATTGCTGCATGTGGCTTGCGAGCCGCCGTTTGCCAACCACTGTTTTATGCCTTCTGGCCCGCAAAGTTTTTGTTGCAGAATCAGTTGATAGTCTATGGGGGCTCCCTTGTACATAACTAATGCTTTTCTCTTGTTACTTTTAAGATTCTGTCTTTGATATTTTAATTATGACATGTCTTGGGGTGGGCCTCTTTGTGTTCATCTTGTTTGGGACTCTATGCACTTCCTCGACTTTTGTGTCTGTTTCATTCAACAGGTTAGGGAAGTTTTCCATCATTATTTCTATAACTAGAGGCCTGGTGCATGAAAATTTCATGCATTGGAGGGAGGGTCCCTCAGCCCAGCCTGCCTCAACTCACAATCTGGGACCCCTCAGGGGCAGGAGGCAACCCAGCAATCAGGCGACCCATCTCACCTCTGCTGCTGCCACTGTCAGCAGCACAAGCCTCGGCCAGCCCTGGATACCTGTCTTGGGAGACACTGGGTGGCTGGGGGGTTGAGGGGTCTGGGGGACTCTGGAGGCAGGTACCGTGGTGGGGCTGAGGGGACTGGGCACCACCATCTTGTGGCTGTGGACACTGCCATCTTTGAGGGCGTGACAGTCAATTAGCATATTCCCTTCTTACTGGCTGTGGGCACCTCTATCTGTACGACGGCATGGGGGTCAATTAGCATATTCCCTCTTTATTAGATAGGATTAGGTTTTCATATCTTCCCCTCTCTCTTATCCTTCTGAAACGCCTATGCTGTGAATGTTGTTACATTTGATGTTGTCCCAGTTAAAAAGCAGCACTCCCGGGCGCCGGACCAGCCCGTTCCATGCCTCCACACCTCCTACCAGTCTCAGTGTGCTGTCTTCTTTACCTCTCTAGTACTTCCACTCAGCCAGCTTTCCCTTGGTTCTGGATGATAGTTGTTCTGTATTTTAGTTGTAATTTTGATGTGGTTGTGGGAGGCAGCAAGTACAGGCATTTGCCTATGCCACCATCTTGGTTCTCCTCCTGATGGCTAATTTAAGGGTTGCCTACTATTATAGACAGAATGTTTATGTCATTTCAAAAGTCATGTGTTGTATTTGAGATGGGGCCTCTAAGAAAGTAATCAATGCTAAAGGAAGCCATAAGAGTGGGACTCTAATCTGTCAGGATTCGTTTTCTTATATGAAGAGACACTAGAGCATGCCCACCCCCAACCTCCCAACCCAAACTTGTTCACACACTTAGAAAAGGCCATGTGAAGCCATGGAGAGAAGATGGCTGTTTGCTGAATTCTAGCATCTAGAACTGTGAAAAACCCTGGCCTGGTATATATTCACAAAGCAAGCAGTCTTGACATGGTTGAGTAGGATGAGGGAGGTAACTTCTTCTTCTTCTTCTTCTTCTTCTTTTTTTTTTTTTTTTTTTTAAATAAATCTTTATTGTTCAGATTATTACAGTTGTTCCTCTCCCCCCCCCACACATAGTTCCCCTGTACCCAGTTCCCCACCACACCCTCTGCCCTTACCCCCCCCCCCCAGCCGACCATCCTCACCCATAGGTGTACGATTTTTATCCAGTCTCTTCATGCACCCCCATACCCCTTTCCCCCTGAGAATTGTCAGTCCACTCCCTTTCTATGCCCCTGATTCTATTATATTCATCAGTTTATTCTGTTCAACAGATTCTTTATTCACTTGATTTTTAGATTCACTTGTTGATATGTATTTGTTGATCATAATTTTTACCTTTACCTTTTTCTCCTTCGCCCTCTTCGTGAAGAATACCTTTCAGCATTTCATATAATACTGGCTTGGCGGTGATGAACTCCTTTAACTTTTTCTTATCTATGAAGCTCTTTATCTGACCTTTAATTGTGAATGATAGCTTTGCTGGTAGAGTGGCTTTGTGTGCGAGGTGTCCTATAGGGCCCAGTGGCTCAGCATCCCTAGTTATCTGAGGTGGACACTCTTGGTGCATCCTTTTGTGGGCTGTGTGCACAGTCTTGTTATAGTTCAGCCTTGATTATTGTTGGTATCACTGGGAGGAATTGACCTCCAGGCCAGTTGGCTTTGAGGATCAGTGGTGTATTCAATGGGAGAACTTCTGTGCTGGAGACACTCTTATGAGGCAAGATTTGATTCAGTGGGGCTTTGGTACTCACTGAGTCTTCCTCCTGCTTGTGTCCCTTATGGATCTGAGGAGTTGTAATCTGGATAGTCCTACTCTGACTCCTGGGTACACTGGCTCTTGAATCTCCAAGTAGATGCAAATTTAGCCTCTGATTGAGGCCACCCAGTAGGAGCTACGAGAGATCTGCAGATTCCTCTTCTTTGTTTGGGTTTTGGAGGTGCCCAGATGAGGCCCAGCTGTGAAGCAATGCAAGCTGGTGTGGGGTCTTGGTCCTTCTTTTGGATATTCTGGGTCTCACTCTTTTTGTTAAGTAAGTTTAGATTTCAAAGGACCAGGCCATTCATATACAAAAGCCTCTGTGCACAGTTTGGTTGGGCGGAATCTCAGGGCAGAGCAAACAGCAATGGCTTCCTGTCAGCCCTGCGCTAAGAGGCCTCCGGGTCTCAGTGTCCTGTGGTAATTGCTGTAAGCACCTCTGAGAGAAAGCTGCCCTCGAGTTCCGCCCATTGCCAGACAGTCCAGTTTCTCCCCATATGAGTCTGGGTCCCCAGAGTCTTGCCTGGAACTGGAGTTCAGAGCAATTGGGAGCTTTTGTCTCCCTCCTGCTTGAAAAATACAGCTGCATACTCAGTTGCCAGTCCTCTCTGCTTATGTACTCCTCCGTACCTCTGCCTTTACTTCTGCAGCTCCTCTGAGTCTCAGTGTGCTTTTCTCTTCCCTTATAGTTGTAGAATTTCCACTTAGCCAGCCTTCCAGTGATTCTGGATAATGTCGGTTTTGTCTTTTAGTTGTAGTCTTGAAGTTATTGTGCGAGGCAGCAATTTCAGGTGTTTACCTATGCCACATCTTGGTTTTTCCTGGGAGGTAACTTCTGAAGCAATTATAATATGCTCTTGTTGGGCAAGTTCAAGTTACAATGAAGTCCTGTGGCAGAGGAACTGTCATAGGCTCAGGTGATTTGGAAAATCTTCCCAGAGCAAAGGACATTAATGAGGAGACCTGAGGCTTAAATAGGTGTTAATGAGACAGGAAATAGCATGGAAGTCATATGATAGTTCATGAAAAGCCTCTAGATCACATGTGTCAAACACAAGGCCCGCGGGCCAAATCTGTCCCGCCAGGCCTTGCAATGTGGCCCGCACCGTGCTGTCATCACTGCACTCCGCTGCGTTTCCATCACAATGACAGTTTATGACTGTTCAGTAAACCATTCGGCCTGCGATTTAGGCTGGATTTTAGATTTTGGCCCCTTCTCTGATTGAGTTCGACACCCCTACTCTAGATGGAGGTTTGATATTTAGGCCATATGTCCTAGATAATAGGGCTCTATTCTACAGTTGGCATAGTAATCTCAAGCAGTCTGCAGAATTTGGAAACCTTAAACACTAAAATTAGAAGACTGTTGCTGAGTCCCAGAATTGAGGGCCTGTGT